TGAGACTGAAGAGAGACTGAGAGAGACTGAGAGACTGAGAGAGACTGACGAGACTGAGAGAGACTGACGAGACTGAGAGAGACTGACAAGACTGAGAGAGACTGAGAGAGACTGAGAGAGACTGACGAGACTGAGAGAGACTGACGAGACTGAGAGAGACTGACAAGACTGAAGAGAGACTGAGAGAGACTGAGAGAGACTGACGAGACTGAAAGAGACTGAAGAGACTGACGAGACTGACAGAGACTGAGAGAGACTGACGAGACTGAGAGAGACTGAGAGAGACTGACGAGACTGAGAGAGACTGACAGAGACTGAGAGAGACTGACGAGACTGAGAGAGACTGACAAGACTGAAGAGAGACAGAGAGAGACTGAGAGAGAGACTGAGAGAGACTGAGAGAGACTGACGAGACTGAAGAGAGACAGAGAGAGACTGAGAGAGACTGACAAGACTGAGAGAGACTGAGAGAGACTGACAAGACTGAGAGAGACTGACGAGACTGAGAGAGACTGACAAGACTGAAGAGAGACAGAGAGAGACTGAAAGAGACTGAAGAGACTGACGAGACTGAGAGAGACTGACGAGACTGAAGAGAGACAGAGAGAGACTGACGAGACTGAGAGAGACTGACGAGACTGAGAGAGACTGACAAGACTGAAGAGAGACAGAGAGAGACTGAGAGAGACTGAAAGAGACTGAAGAGACTGACGAGACTGACAGAGACTGAGAGAGACTGACGAGACTGACGAGACTGAGAGAGACTGACGAGACTGAGAGAGACTGACGAGACTGAGAGAGACTGACAGAGACTGAGAGAGACTGACGAGACTGAGAGAGACTGACAAGACTGAAGAGAGACAGAGAGAGACTGAGAGAGAGACTGAGAGAGACTGACGAGACTGAAGAGAGACAGAGAGAGACTGAGAGAGAGACTGAGAGAGACTGACGAGACTGAGAGAGACTGACAAGACTGAGAGAGACTGACGAGACTGAGAGAGACTGACAAGACTGAGAGAGACTGACGAGACTGAGGGAGACTGACAAGACTGAAGAGAGACAGAGAGAGACTGAAAGAGACTGAAGAGACTGAGAGAGACTGACGAGACTGATGAGACTGAGAGAGACCGACAGAGACTGAGAGAGACTGACAAGACTGAGAGAGACTGACGAGACTGAGAGAGACTGACGAGACTGAGAGAGACTGACGAGACTGAGAGACTGACGAGACTGAGAGAGACTGACGAGACTGAGAGAGACTGACGAGACTGAGAGAGACTGACGAGACTGAGAGAGACTGACGAGACAGAGAGACTGACAGAGACTGAGAGAGACTGTGAGAGACTGAGAGAGACTGAGAGAGACTGACAGAGACTGACGAGACTGAGAGAGACTGAGAGAGACTGACGAGACTGAGAGAGACTGACGAGACAGAGAGACTGACAGAGACTGACGAGACAGAGACAGAGAGAGACTGAGAGAGACTGACAGAGACTGACAGAGACTGACAGAGACTGAGAGAGACTGAGAGAGACTGAGAGACTGACAGAGACTGACAGAGACTGAGAGAGACTGAGAGAGACTGACAGAGACTGACAGAGACTGAGAGAGACTGAGAGAGACTGACAGAGACTGAGAGAGACTGAGAGAGACTGAGAGAGACTGACAGAGACTGAGAGAGACTGACGAGACTGAGAGAGACAGAGAGACTGACGAGACTGAGAGAGACTGAGAGAGACTGACGAGACTGAGAGAGACTGACGAGACAGAGAGACTGACGAGACAGAGACTGACAGAGACTCAGAGAGACTGAGAGAGACTGAACAAAGGTGCGAGGAGGTGATGAAGAGGAGCAAACAAGTGCATACCTCGCCAGAGTTTGATACAGTTAATCCAATATCTTTCTAAACCTATATGTGTGTATGTGTATATGTTTGTGTGTATGTGTATATGTTTGTGTGTATGTGTATATGTTTGTGTGTATGTGTATATGTTTGTGTGTATGTGTATATGTTTGTGTATATGTGTATATGTATGTGTGTATGTGTATATGTGTATATGTTTGTGTGTATGTGTATATGTTTGTGTGTATGTGTATATGTTTGTGTGTATGTGTATATGTTTGTGTGTATGTGTATATGTTTGTGTGTATGTGTATATGTGTATATGTTTGTGTGTATGTGTATATGTATGTGTGTACGTGTATATGTTTGTGTGTATGTGTATATGTTTGTGTGTATGTGTAAATATATGTTTTTATGTATGTACTGTATATGTGTATATGTGTATATGTTTGTGTGTATGTGTATATGTATGTGTGTATGTGTATATATTTGTGTGTATGTGTATATGTTTGTGTGTATGTGTATATGTTTGTGTGTATGTGTATATGTTTGTGTGTATGTGTATATGTTTGTGTGTATGTGTATATGTTTGTGTGTATGTGTATACGTGTATATGTTTGTGTGTACGTGTATATGTATGTGTGTACGTGTATATGTTTGTGTGTATATGTTTGTGTGTATGTGTATATGTTTGTGTGTATGTGTATATGTTTGTGTGTATGTGTAAATATATGTTTTTATGTATGTACTGTATATGTGTATATGTTTGTGTGTATGTGTATATGTATGTGTGTATGTGTATATATTTGTGTGTATGTGTATATGTTTGTGTGTATGTGTATATGTATGAGTATATGTTTGTGTGTATGTGTATATGTTTATGTGTATATGTTTGTGTATGTGTATATGTTTGTGTGTATGTGTATATGTTTGTGCGTATGTGTATATGTTTGTGTGTATGTGTAAATATATGTTTTTATGTATGTACTGTATATGTGTATGTGTATGTAAATGTATATGTATATGTATGTAAATGTATATGTATATGTGTAAATGTATATGTTATTTATTTACAGTATGTATATGTCATTAACACTTATAGGTCTCTGTCTCTTCTGGACCATTTTCCACAAGAGGCAGATTTAGGGCTGTTCTATAATGAATGGATTCTTCACTTTGAGTTGCCTTTAACTGTGCTATACATATAAACCTGCCTTCTGTCCATTTATACGGAGTGTGTTATTAAGTGTGTTTTGATTGTGTATGGATGGATGGTTTTGTTTCTCTGATCTGTGTGGAATCGATAACTTCGCCCAGTCCTCCTCCAAACAGCTGTGGTGGTTTAATGCTTCACAAAAACATGAATTGAAACGAGTTGAAATTCCTAATAGTAGTTTTTGCGCAGACGTGTCCCGTGTCCGGTTAATCCAACCCCTAAAAGCTGACCCCCAACCCCCTAAAGCTGATGAAAGTCGGGTTCACTGAAGTGTGTTTGGGCCGCACTTCAGAGACATTCCTGTTGGAGCAGATTTATCGATGGAGCGAGAGTCTGTGGAAAACTAATGTTAAACTCCTCCATTCACCACAGAGGCTTTGATCAGCGCAGACACACATCCTGTTTGGACAAAAGCAGACGCACAACTCAACACACTTTGCAACTTCTCCCCATTATTCACTCACTTCCTGTGCTTTTAAGAACTGCTTTTATCCCCGTTTTGTCTTTTTATAGATTATTATTATTATTATTTTTGGACACACAAGTCTCTGGATTGTAGACTTGGGCTGATGTGCGTCCGTTTTCCCACAGTCACACACTCAAACACACACTTAAACACACACTCAAACACTCTGCACTATTGTACTTAACTTGTAGTGGTAGTGGAAACCGGAGCACTCGGAGGAAACCAGAGCAGACACGGGGAGAACAGGCAAACTCCACTCAGAAAGGCCCAGTTCCGACCGGGATTCGAACCCAGAACCTTCCTACGGTCTCACAATAAGCTTCACATATTTTAATGTATTTGTTTATTTTAAAGAGACCTTGTGAATTCATAAACTTTTCTGTGAATGCACCAAACAGACCCACACCAGCTCTGTACATGCTAATTTTAGATTTTTTTTATTTTTGACCAAATCTTCCCCAAATGAACCGTGCTGGGTCCATCGCTGGTGGTCTGGTCTGTCGTCATTACACATATGTGGATTTGTCGGCCATTTTTACAAAGAGAATTAAAGCTAAATTGCGTAAAACGTCTAAACTTGTTTTTATTATTATTATTTTCAAGACATGTTTTACTTGATTCTTGTCTCTTGATGCTAGAGTTAGAGATTTAGTTTTATTTTAATGAGTACAGAGCTATTGTTCACTTTCCTACTGTTCTGTAACGCGTGATGCAACACTGACATTTCCCCACATCTTAATCTTAATCTTAATCTTAAATCTCTGGGGGTGGGGTCTGACCTGCAGCGCCTCCAGGAAGCGGAAGGATCCCAGTCGACGGCCGCGAGGAACCAGGCAGAAGGTGGAGTTGTGGAGCATCTCTTTGTAGTCGTATCTGGAAATAACAAAAATAAATGAATTCTTCGTCTCGAGCCAAACAAGATCAAAGAACAACAACAAAACTAAACATAATAATTATACAGATATACATTAGCAACAATCCAGCTCGAAAAGGAGTGGGAAGAACTTCAGACTTTTAAAATCCCACTCCATATTTATTATTTTAATTTAACTTTAATGATGTGGTTTGAAGTTATGCAACAGTGGCTATAACAGGGGTCACCAACCTTTTTGAAACCAAGAGCTACTTCTCCGGTACTGATTAATGCGAAGGGCTACCAGTTTGTTACACAATTACATAAATTGCCAGAAAAAGCCAATTTGCTCAATTTACTTTTAACTCTGTTCATATTAATAATTAATGATATTTATCTTTGTGGAAACACTGATCATCTTAACGATTTCTCACAATAAATATATATAGAAACAGATAAATATCAATATGCAACATTTTTCAAATTGAACATTTTCAAACGATCACTTCTTGTGAAATCACAATATCCCATTTTAACCAACTAGCCACTAACATTTTTTAAAACAAATCATGAATAACTTTGCACCATGTTTATACAAATAATAACTCATGTAAAATACAAAAGTCAACTCTCGTCACACGTGATGGTGATCTCACAGGAGTTTAGAAACCAAAGCAGTCCCATTTACGCTGCTACTTTCTCCTCGTCAGAACAAAAACAACAGTGAAGCTGTTTGAGATCATTACATGTGTTTCTACTGTAGGTTTATGTGACAGTTCTAAACTCATCGTTTCAACTCATTTAACTGTGATGCTGTGAATAAAGACACAGTTCTTGTTGGAAACATAGTTATTATTAAAGTGTATTCAGCACAAACAGATAATCAATAAGTGGTAAATATCTGAGAAAAACACGAACTATAAGTGCAGTAGGAATGCAACAGACGCGATAAGCTACAACGCAAACAAGACAGGAACAGTGCAAAAGAAACAACTGCACAGTTTATAAGTTATATCAGGCTCTGCCATGAGACCAAACTACTTTTCCTTCGGTTCCTTCGAAGCACAAAGCGGTCTGCTCCGAAGTGCCTCGTCCGTGCTCCCTGCAGCCGCTCCATGCTTCCGTCCAAAACACACACACGAACCAATCACAGCGGAGCTCCTCTCACACACGGACCAATCACAGCGGAGCTTGTCTGCGGCGTTGGCCGCGTAGTATTCGAGGGTGCGTGGCAGGCTACGTAAGGGCCTTGATGTGATCCACGCGTTGCGCAAGTGACGTCACGTCACCTCCGTAAGCTCCGCGCAGCGCACTAGGCTTGAGTGCTACTATTTGAGCTATTTTTAGAACAGGCCAGCGGGCGACTCATCTGGTCCTTACGGGCGACCTGGTGCCCGCGGGCACCGCGTTGGTGACCCCTGGGCTATAACAATAATATGCACACGTCTTAAACCGTTTCTGAAGATTTCACTAATTTTAAAGAATATTATGTGCTATGACTGTGCGAAAGATGAAACCAGACATGTCAAAGTCAAATACATCAGAGGGCCAAAAAAACAAATTTGCTGCGAGCCGAGGGCCGGACTGGTTCAATGTTTATTAACGTCCAGATGCCGCGCTGGTGTCCCCTGCTGGCTCGATGAAATATGCTCTAAAGCTAATCCCCGTACACATTAGATACAACAGACCTCTGAGAACATGAAAACAGCGGAAAACGCAATCAACCTATAAATGTGTCAATGTCAGGCAACAATATCATCCCAGGGGCCATAGATAATCATTCCTGGGCCGGATCTGGACTTTGACACATGTGGATTAGACTGTCTACTTTCATCAGCAAAAGTAAGTTTGTTTTTAGCTAGTTTTGTTGTCCTGTGATCCCCAGTGGAGTAGAGGGAGGTTTGACAGAAATCACTCGGAAAAATACGTCTATGGCAGTCACTGAGTTAAGAATCACAGCCTTTACTGAGGGAGTAGAGAAAGTCAACAAATATGTCAAAAATATCTCACTATAGTATGTCCACGGACTTTCAGATTTTAACCGGCAACCTGGCTCTCCACAACTGCTTCAAAGTGAAAGTAAGAAATGAGTCCGAGTTTGCCATCGGTCTCTTGAGCTGCACTTAAACGTATTGTTGGATGAAGTTTAAATTTTCCGGACGTGTGTGAAAACAAAAGGATTAAAAAGTGTAGAATGCGAGACTGAGGCTGCTCCGTTTGCAACAGTCACTTCCTCAAATCAGAAACAGCTTCGATCATTTCATTTGTGCAGATCTGGAAACAAACTGATGCTATTTATGTGATTAGGCAGACTAAAGCAAGTCTAAAGCAGGGCTAAAGCAGGTCTAAAGCAGGACTAAAGCAGGACTAAAGCAGGACTAAAGCAGGACTAAAGCAAGTCTAAAGCAGGGCTAAAGCAGGTCTAAAGCAGGACTAAAGCAGGACTAAAGCAGGACTAAAGCAAGTCTAAAGCAGGACGAAAGCAGGACTAAAGCAGGACTAAAGCAGGACTAAAGCAAGTCTAAAGCAGGGCTAAAGCAGGTCTAAAGCAGGACGAAAGCAGGACTAAAGCAGGACTAAAGCAAGTCTAAAGCAGGGCTAAAGCAGGTCTAAAGCAGGACGAAAGCAGGTCTAAAGCAGGTCTAAAGCAGGACGAAAGCAGGACTAAAGCAGGACTAAAGCAGGTCTAATGCAGGTCTAAAGCAGGACTAATTCAGGACTAAAGCAGGACTAAAGCAGGGCTAAAGCAGGTCTAAAGCAGGACTAAAGCAGGACTAAAGCAGGACTAAAGCAGGTCTAAAGCAGGACTAAAGCAGGACTAAAGCAGAACTAAAGCAGAACTAAAGCAAATCTAAAGCAGGACTAAAGCAGGACTAAAGCAGGACTAAAGCAGGACTAAAGCAGGTCTAAAGCAGGTCTAAAGCAGGACTAAAGCAGGTCTAAAGCAGGTCTAAAGCAGGTCTAAGGCAGGACTAAAGCAGGACTAAAGCAGGACTAAAGCAGGGCTAAAGCAGGACTAAAGCAGGACTAAAGCAGGACTAAAGCAGGACTAAAGCAGGACTAAAGCAGGACTAAAGCAGGTCTAAAGCAGGTCTAAAGTAGGACTAAAGCAGGTCTAAAGCAGGTCTAAAGCAGGACTAAAGCAGGTCTAAAGCAGGTCTAAAGCAGGACTAAAGCAGGTCTAAAGCAGGTCTAAAGCAGGACTAAAGCAGGTCTAAAGCAAGTCTAAAGCAGGACTAAAGCAGGACTAAAGCAGGACTAAAGCAGGTCTAAAGCAGGTCTAAAGCAGGACTAAAGCAGGGCTAAAGCAGGACTAAAGCAGGTCTAAAGCAGGTCTAAAGCAGGTCTAAAGCAGGTCTAAAGCAGGACTAAAGCAGGACTAAAGCAGGACTAAAGCAGGTCTAAAGCAGGACTAAAGCAGGTCTAAAGCAGGGCTAAAGCAGGTCTAAAGCAGGTCTAAAGCAGGTCTAAAGCAGGACTAAAGCAGGACTAAAGCAGGACTAAAGCAGGTCTAAAGCAGGTCTAAAGCAGGACTAAAGCAGGACTAAAGCAGGACTAAAGCAGGTCTAAAGCAGGTCTAAAGCAGGACTAAAGCAGATCCATCCATGCTTAACCCTCTCCAGGCATTGCATATTTGAAACAGCTTTTCTTATTGCCTAAGATCTCCTCTGGATTTTTCCCTGGGTCAGCTCTATTTACCACAGCGGGCCAATGTTGCAAATCTGCAACGTAGAATGTAGAATGCATTGCCTCTGAAGGTCTCTTTCCAAAAATATTGCCTATAAATTACTTTATTCTTACTGGTAATTCAAGTGAAATGGTGGTCTTTACAGTATCTGTGTTAAAAGACAGTAACTTCCACACCCTGCTCCCTCTGGTGGCAGCATAGGGAGTTACAGGCAAAAAGCATTATTTATCATTCATACCCATCTCATCATATATTTTCTACTGAAGGTTCTATTTCACATTCTAACACATTACATGGCAGAGTAAATAGTCTCATTATCATTTTAAAGAGTCAAATAATGCAGAAGATATCTCCTTTAAGGTTTTATCCCACCAAAATGCACACAAATCAGTCATTAATTAGTTTTAGAGGAGATACCAGTGCAGGTATAATTATTTGCATGTTAAAGAGAATACAGTAGGTTCTTTTAGTTTATGCTCAAAGCAAAAAACAGACACTGATTGCTAACTTCATCGGCTGTCTGAGCATGGCCTTTCTGACTCTTGATCTGAAAAGAGGCCTGGATTTGTAAATAGCTTGAGCAGATTAGTTTTAATGTGGGCATACAGTACGCTTGTGGCTGAATGGGGCTGTGTTTTTAATATACTTTGAATTATTTATTTACTGGAGCTGCACCGACTGAATGATTTCCCTCGTGGAATAACAAAGTATTCTCATTCTTATTCATTCATTCATACGCAACATGAATGTGTTTTAGAGTCAAAACATAAGTCCTTGTTCCTCGCTGACTCCTCGTGGAAGGATTATGATCTTACAGTCGCTAATGTCTCGCAAATAACATTTAGGTAGTAATCTTTAAACCAGTCTGGGCGGGTCCCGGCTCTAAAAGGTCCATGAGCACGTGCTGCAATCTCACTCTTGCTGGGAGGGGTGGGGGTGTGCCCGGAAAGAGAATTACCCAATGCTTCTGTATGACGCCTTCAGATGCTGCCTAGGCTGAGGGGAGTATTTTCGTTTGGACCGGTCTAGTTTAGCCGCTGTGGAATTCTGAACAAACGTATTAAATGAATGGGGCTCGTGCAGCTAATGTATGCGCTAATGCGCTTTTTCCACACTTTCTGCCATGCGGCCATTTTGAAAAAGCCCACAGAAGGCAACGGTGGTGGCACATTAGTTTATACGGCTGAAATAGGCGTCACTACGTCTGTTAATATTTACAGTATCAGGTCCAAAAATAAAAAAATAAACCTTTCACAAACGTAAGAATCACACTTGTGCTTTTAACACTAGAACTCCCAAAGCAGTCAGTTTGACGG